TGACCATTTAGGTTTCAAGTTCAGGAGGAAAGGACGTCCTCTGCTGGAATGAATCTGAGTGTCTGCTCCTCGGACTCCAGGGATGTCTGCTGCGGACGAGTCTCGGTGGAGGCTCGGCTTAAACGAAGGGTAAGTGGAAAGGCATGTGGTGGCGTGGGTGGATGTCTGTGTAGCGCACGTCTAACCTGTGTTGTGTTGTCACTGTAACAACCATTAAGCATCTCTTGCAGGTTTCGTTCACAAATACGGGATGACGTGTAAATGCAGTGAGGATGGGTTACACAGTCCCTAGAACAGTTCCCTCAAGGGTACGTTTCCATGGCCAAACTGTAGTGCAAGTGTAGAGGTTCGTGCGGGCCAGGTGGGCGCATTGGAGCTGGGGCCAAAACCCACCAGAAAACACTGCTGGGGTGGGTAGCACCTGCTAGCCACATCAGGAAATGCTTCAGCTCTCTCTGGATACAAGGAGGGAAATGAAGATTCTTGGGCCCCAAAAAGCGGGTCTCGAGAGGACTACTGGCTCACAAAGACCTTCAAATCGCGGACTTGGACTCTCTCCTCACTTTGTTCCCCCCCCCCCCCCCCCCCCCTTACCATAGATTTGGCTTTCCAATCAACACTTACAATGTAACTTAGACAAGGGCAAGGCGAGTTTTTATTGTGTAGTCACAAGGTGACTCATAGTCGGAACAAAGCAAGAAGATCATGAAATAACCTCATACCTTAGGGAAAAGTGGTAACACAATGCCCGCATGTCCTGCACAGCTAAACTGAACTGGGTCTAACCTGAGGATTTGAACATTGTCATAGAAGAAGCCGGGTGCCACAGTTTCCACACTATGCATCCTCGGGGCGTTTGGTCCCCGTCCTGTGACTCGAAGGCGTACGTCAGGAGCAATGGTCGCCGTATACAGCACCCGGGAACCAGCTGGAGGATTTTAACCTTAAGGGTGGCCATATTTTTTTAGTGATAGGGGAAACCAGAGTACCCGGAAAAAACCTACGCAAGCATGGGGAGAACATGCAAACTCCACTCAGAAAGACCGTTTTTTGTCGTCAATGTGGATGTCATACTATTTTGTATAGTGCGTGTTGATTGTGGCTGAGCTCAATTATCTAAAGTTTAATTAATTTCCTTTTATCTATCGTCTCTAGTTTTGGAAGTAAGCCAGGCTGTAGTTATACTTTTATTAGTTTTATTTAATTTTTTCCATATTGCCATTCATTTTTAGTATAGTTGCATTGATATATCTATTTTTTTTGTCTTAAATGTTCGTTGTCGTCTATATCCTATCTTTATTGGCCTAGTCTATTATTTATTTTCCCTTTCCCGCGACCAGCGGATTCGAACCCAGGATCTTCTTGCATGAGAGGCAAGCACCCCTCCTCACATACCCACTCAGCCACCGAGGCCAGCTGAGTGGGTACCTGCAAAATCCTTGTTTTGGGTTCTGACTCTGGATCATACCAGCAAGAGGCAAGATCCCTAGTGCTCCTCAGCAGTTTTCTCCTCTCGAGTAAAGGAGACGTTTCTTGTATTAATCAAAACGAGATAAGTTTCGTCATCTATCATTGGCAACAATCAAAATGCGCTCAAATGACTGATACATGTTCTTTGCCATGTGAGCACCTCACTTTTGCTCCACGCTTTAATGCTTGTTAAGCACTCAGCGATGCCAAGTGCAGATGTAAGATGGTATTGTCTTTCCTATAAGGGTTTAAGCGGCTCCTAATTAATCTCGATGAGTGTGGAAAGCACTTTGCTGTGGCGTCTCCACGGGAGAGAGAGACGGGAGGGAGCGGCCTGCTGATGCTGGACAGATGCCAGCAGCTTGGGGACTTGATGGTTTTGAGGCGGGGATCGGTTTTCACGGCGTCCTGGCTGGGAGTCCCCTAACTACACCAAAATGATGCTCCATTCTGAGACCGTGTCCTTATAGGCGATGCAACTGCCTCTAACTACAAGCTGGCAGAAGGATACAAAGTCCAACTTTTTTTGGCTTTATTTTGTGGGAGCACCTGCTTTGTGCAAAAAAAAAGGTGGTCATAGATATATCAAACATGGAGATACAGAATTAGGTCTGAATTGTTGCTCAGTGGTGGTTGAAAACTCTCACATACACTACAAAAAGCGATAAAGCAAACATTTATCTTATTTTTCAAAATGTATCTACATTTGAAAACATTTTTACTGCCTTAAAACAAGATTTGCCAATGCAACAATTTCAAAATGATCTTGTTTTAAAAAGATACAAGAAAAGGTTCCCTTGCAAATGAGAAAATAAAGGCACCAGCTCTTGAATAAGACCAAATGCTTTGTCCCATTGGAAAACCCTTGTTTTAAGACAGTCAAACATGAAGTCCCATTAGATAAAAACCGCTTTTCAAATGAATATTATTTCAGTGTAGATAGATAAATGCATCCATAACAAAGAGTAATTTTGTTGTCCGCAGCTGTTATTGGTTCGAGTTGTGTTGTTTTTGTTTACTCTATTTCCCCATAATGGCAACAGATGTGCACCATAAAAAATTTGTTTTAAAAAAGGTCATCGTATTTTGGGATTTATTTGTTAGTTTGTCCAACAGTGGGTAAAATACCATGTCAGCAGTTACAGAACAGTAGAAATGAGCATCACGGCACAAGTGAAGTGAAGCATTGCCTGCTACTCTTTAATAAAGACTAAATCTACTGGGAAGTATATAAATCTCTCGATAACTTCAGCAGAATGAAAGAGGCAAGATTTAAAAACCGCTCACGGTTGTGCGACTATGAAGCGGCACATGCTGTTTGGCTTGGACATTATGAGTGGTGTGGTGTTTGGTAAGTGGTCCCAGGCCATACGTCACAAGGGAGTTGCGAGCATGTGATGGATGCCATGTTCCTCGTGAGAGAGATGGAGGGCTGTGTCGGGCCCGTCCAGTAGGATGCTTTTGGGAACTATCCTGAGATGGGGGGAAATAAAAGTTTTAACCAAAAATCATACAACTTGACGGTGTTGTGAGTTGATGACACAAAGTGACCTATGGACAAATACATGCAGATGCAGCGCTTGCCAAAAAAACATTAAGCCAGACCAGCAATGTCAGAATCATACCCAGATGTGGAGGGAACTAAATGTACACTGCATAAAAAGTACACAAAAGTGATGTAATGGAGTATGCTTAAATCAAGGTGGATTTATTAGGGTACAGTTTGTGATTTAATTAAGATTTCAAACCTGCAAAAGCCCAGTCACCTTGGTTTGTTACAGTAATACAGTGGGGAACAGGGGTGGATGCTTGAAGTAAATGCTTATCCCAACCCTTCATGATATGCAATTAATTAATCTATTCATACAGAATACTAATTTGAGTGCATTCTGACACGATTTGCCAATAGGACAAAGCTAATTTAGTATATGAGCTCAGAGACTGTAGCTTTGAATTCTCCACGACAAGGGAGACATTTCTTGGGGAGCTTTTTGAAAACAATACTTCCATTTGCTAAATCTTTGATGTTGAAGGCAGTCAAAAGGGGCTCAAATGAAAGACACCTGTGGTCCAAAGGTGGAGCAATGTCTGACTGTGAGTTGTTCATCCCTCTTTTTGCAGTGTAGGAATGCTCGAGAGCCCTGCGCTGTGCCAGTAGATTCACGACTATAAAACCGGCAATAAATAGATCAGAGAAGTACTGAAGGGACCGAACCTGGGATTGATTAGCAAGGGAAGGTAATCAGTTTTAAATAACAGGGCGGGTAGGCCCGCTAAAGCCGGATATTTATAAATTATCAAGACTGTGTTTTTGATTAGAATTCACCACGCCAGTTTTATCCAGTCATCTACTGTAAAATAATGGTGGTAGTGGACAAACCTGGCCTTTTGAAAGAAGTCTTTGGGGACATGTGATTATAGCAGAACAAGGCGTGCGATGGGTCTCAGCTCCCATTTAATTATCAGATCCCAACAAGTTGTCTCTACTGGGTTGCCTCAAGTGGTGGACTAAGTAAATCTGGAGTGTCGTTTGGAACCGAGGTACCAGTACGGACAAGGGATTGACGACACTGCAGAAAAAAGACAACCGAATGAGGAAGATAATGCCTGTAACCCTTGAAGTTTGGGCCCAAAGTGGGCACAAAGACAATTAGTCTAATTTACAATACAATACAATTTATTCTTGTATAGCCGTAAATCACAACAGTGGTCATCTCGGAGGACTTAACAAAACCATTGAAATCACCAACACAGATCAGAGAATCAAAAGTTAAGACAGAGATTTCAAGAACTGTTGCTTTATTTTCTCATTCCAAGGGAGGTATGTCTTGCATATTTTTAAAAACAAGATTATTCTGATTGTCCCATGACAGATCTTGTTTTAAGGCAGTCAGAATATTCTCCAATTTTGATACATTTGCCAAAATAGAGCACTTTATGAATTATTTGTCTTCACTTCTTGCAGTATAATCACCTCTATTGCATAATTTCTGGATGTGTGCACTGCAAAAAGTGATGAAAAATAAGTTACAAATATTCTCAAATTTGCTTTGTTCTTGAAATAAGACTAAATGGCTTTGTCCCAATTGGTAATCCTTGTTTTAACACAGTCAGAATGTACTCAAATTAAAATAAAAACCACTCTGTCACAGCAATATTTCCCTCATCTTTTTGTTTTGTTTTGCAGTGTATACATTTATATTTTTATTGTTGTTTTATGATACACTTTGAGTCAGAGCAGAGTTGAGGCCTGCTGCTGATGCCAGTGATATGAGGGTGGTTTCTATAGAGTCTGCTTCAGAGAGACAGCTGTGGTCTTTCTGGTAAAAACATCTGTATTCATATGTCAGCAGAAGTTATTAAAGCTACATAACTACAGTATAAAATATATCCTGTCTTTCCACAGACTTAAGTATGGGTGTGTTGCTGCTTGGCACATTTTTGCATTACATTAAGTCGGTCATTGACTCCTACGCCCATTTCATTATTGGCTGTTATGACGGGGAATTCCTCATGCATGTTTTTAATACTTTTCTAGTTTAATACTACTTTAAATACTGGAATGGATAGTTTTTATTCATATTCATTGTGGATTCATATGATTAAACAATGTAATGAGAACAAATCTTCATGTATTTGCCACTACAAAAACTGATGATAAGTAAGTCAAAATTTGCTCAAATTTGACAAAAGGTATCTTAATTTGAGCACATTGAGCACAGACATATCTCCCTTGGAATGAGAAAAGAAAGCAACACATCTTGAAATAAGACTAAATGGGTTTGTCCCCATTTGCAAATCTTGCTTAAAGACAGTCAGAATGTACTCAAATTAAGAGAAAAGCCACTTGATTGAAGCATTTATTGCCTCATAATTTTTGCAGTGTACAATAATCTGTTTTGACCGGGAGAGTGCAGATATTGTAGAAATGATGTTGGATCTATCAGCTGACCTCACTGCCAACAGAACGACATGTACTATTTTTGAATCAAGAGTTGAAGATACCTTTTATAACTCACTTTTATATGTATTTAATGTTAATTAGGATTTTTAAACACACTGCATAAAAGGTAATAGGCAATAATAGCTTGAATCAATTAATTCGAGTTAATTCTGTGTTAAAACAACATTTGATATTTCTTAATCATTTTGCTTTGTCCCATGGGGAAATCTTGTTTTAAGGCAATCAGAATGTGCTTAAATTAAGATACATTTTGCCAAAAAAAATTGTACGTGTTTTTCATCGCTTTTTGCAGTGCAGGTCAGATATCCTTGAAACAAGCCTATATATATACATACATATAGATAACTAGGCTGTACCTGCCTAAATGTGGCCGGATCCACACATTGATAATAATACCACATCATAATGCATACACTGGGCTGAGTATTGAACTGGATGCAGTAACGGTGAGGGGGAGGGTAGGAACAAAGAAAATGAAGAAGATTGTGAGAAGCAGAATGTTTAAAGAAAACATCACTGCTGTTTAAAGCTACAATTGTCTGGCGTGTGCGTGTGCGTGGAGACACCGCCGAGCATCCTTAAACGCAGGAGGAGCCGGGTGTAGGAGGAGGAAAGGCGGAGGCAGCAGAGAGCAGGGGGAGGGTGCGCTGGAGTGTCTGCGCTGCTGTCATTCTGCTGCTACGCGCCTCAGCGGCACAAGGGAGGGCTGCTGCCAGAGGAGAGGGAGAAAAGAGGAAAGGAGGACTGGAGGAGAGGGGGAGAAGGGGGGATAGACGGAGGCAGCTCTGCAACAGCTGCAGCCGCCAGAGGAGCACACGGGCGACTGCTCGGATCGTCTCTTTTGCATAAGGTTAAAGCAGGGCTGCGTTTCTCCCTGCTGATGCTGCTGTGTCTGCCCTGATGCTGGACGCGTACTCGGGCATACTGTGAAAGGCACAGTGGAAAATCTGAAGATGGAGAGAAGTGACAGCACAAAGGCATATGGCCAAGCAGCAGAAGGTAAAGGAGTCGGCATGGCAGCGAAGAGGGCCATTCCCACCAAGTCTGGAGTGCCACAGAACACTCAACGCAGCGAATTCAAGGTGTATCGAGGAGGGAGCTCTGAGGGGCGGCTGCCGGTGTCCACCAGTCTCAGAAAGCAGCGGTCGATGACAAACTTGGCTGTCCTCACTGATGCAGAAAAGAAGTTGCATCTTTACGAGCCAAAATGGTGCGATGATATGGCCAAACCCGGAGTAGGGCAGAACAAGACTGGTAAGCCAAAGACGGCTGGAGGCGGCTCGAGCACCGGAGGGGGTGCCCCGCTTTCAAGAAATCTTTCCAAATCCGAACACTCGCTGTTCCAGGGAAAGCCAAAGCCCTTCGCCCCTCTCGCTGCTCCAACGGCGCTTGGCAAACAGAGCCGTATCCCTCGCGCCCCTTATGCTGAGGTGAAGCCCTTGAGCAAGACACCTGAGGATGGCAAGTCTGATGACGAGATCTTATGCAGCAAGGCTAAGGCCATAGCAAAGAAGCCGGGTGGTGGGGCAGGAGGGGAAGCTGGCTCTAAAGGCCAAGGAGACACTTATCTAAAGGTGGATCCAGAGCTGGTGGTGACGGTGCTGGGGGATCTGGAGCAGCTGCTCTTCAGTCAGATGCTGGGTGAGTCCTGCAGTCGTCTGATGTGATCAGTGGCTCCATAACATGTGGCTGTCATGTGCTAACCTGCTGTACTCCTCTTCAGCACACCCCCATCCATACAGCACAGAGCACCTGCTGTAACTGCTGTAACTGCTGTTCTCTATCCAGAGCATCCGTGTCTCACGCTCACAAAGCATGTCCTTTAGCTATTATTTTACTTACTGTCCAGGCTTGGCTTTTTCCCAACGGTAGCTAGTAGTATATTCATGCTTCAGTGAGGGCGGTTGTGAATCAGGGCTCTATTGTTCCCAGCGCTTTAGCTGCTCTGCTGTTTTAGGCTTATTAGTATTCACTCTTTGTTTTCCACCATAACATTTCTGAATGATTTGTAATTAAATCACAAATTATTGTTTATTGTCACATTATTATTTGCAACACGTGTTGATGAACCGTTCTTTGTATTTGGAGCTGGAAGCCATGTTGTGCCGTATTCAATGTATTTGACACTCAATGGGTTATTAACCCCCTTATAGCTACAGTAGGTTAACACTGTGATGCCAGACATAAAGATGGATGCTTTCTCTGGTTTTAGATTCCACCAATCAATGAGTGGGATTTTGTTAACCCAAGTTCAAGTACAGTCTGTCGATTTAAACAAAAGGTCAAACATGTCATGAAATAACAATAAACTTTAGTTGGTGATGGAGACCCTCGTGTATTTGCACATGAATGCTAATATTCTCTGGAGCACAGGAAGCATGTTGCATCTTAACCAATATGGGTATCCTGATTAAATGTGTTCTGCATGCCTTATTATCTTTAATGGAAGCAAATCAATCATGAGTGCAGCGATGTGCATTTGGAAAACCACATTTAGACATGGTTATTTTTTATAATTAACTATATATAGATGGTTCTATTTTAACCATGTTATAGTTTAATGCAGCAATGTTTCCCATTTCTGTCTTGAAATCTTTATCTTTTTAATATGCATAATATACAATTATTGGGTAACAATTGGAGCTTTTTTAGTCTATGGTTTGGTTCTAATTAAATCGACCATGAAGAAGAGAATGGAAGAATATTGATAGTTAATGTATAATTAAAGGTGGCTAAGTAATTAGCACATGTGCTTCACAGCAAGAAAGTCCTGGGTTTGATTCCAGACGAGACCTTTCTGTGTGGAGTTTGCATGTTCTCCCTGTGTCTCCATAGGTTTCCTCCAACTGCTCCACTTTCCCCTATCATTGATAACATGTACGATAGTTCAGGATGAATGAGTATGTGTTTGTGAGTGTGGTATTATCTGGTGTCTTTGCAGTATCTGCTGTTAATCCATAAACACTGTGCCATCCAAATAAACAAAGAATATCATAACGATGATTCATTATATATATAATATATATATATATATATATATATATATATATATATATATATATATATATGGGGCAGATATACTGTACATCATTGTGCACAGACTTGACCTTGTAATCTGTTAACTTTCCCAGCGAACTGATGCTCAAGCCTGGTTTAGACAGCCATTTGTAATCACTTATCACTTTAGTGTCATTTATGCTGAAAACTAATATGTGGATTCTTTGTCCCTAACAACATATAGGTTTGATACACTGATTGGTATGAACAAAGCAGATGTTGTTAATGCTGCACAAAGAGTCTCATTGTTTTTCTCCAAGACAAATCAACAGGAACCAACACAAACTCAAAATGGCCTAAACTCTCTTTGTTGGCTTCATTGCATGTCACTTATTACAAGATCTGGTCACATCTTCCTCTGTGTTTTACATTTCGTACATGTCTCACAGTTATGCAGAATGGCCTGCACATTTCAGAGCAGTTATCATGGAAAAATCTGTTTTGCTCTAGCCTGGAGACATAGCGTTAATCTATAGGGGACAGCCATAGAATGCCGTTGTTATACCATTGCTAAAATTAGTTGTAATTTTTTTGATTGATTGAAACTGATTTTAAGTTAGCCTTTGACCCCAAAGGGCTTGCATGAAATATTTTCTAAATCTTTTTTCTTTTCTTAGGAGAAGAAAAAAAAAAACATGTCTCATTGTGTTATGAGGGATGCATAGTATTTGTGGACTAGCTATATCTCAGCATGGCCCTACAGAGCATCTTCCCAGAGCACTTCCTGAACCACTGCATGATTCATAGGCTTTTCCTTCAGTATTCTGGTCAATTTTACCTTTCCTGTATTGTAGGTATCCCTGCAAGACAGGATGCCAAAGATCTGGCAGTCACGGGACAAAGTGCGTATTGCATTAAGTGAACTAATGAGATTTACACGTGTATTTGAGAGGAATCCAAAAGACGCTGTTTGCATATGGAAGCTATGACAGAGCTGAGTTTACCCTTTTAAAAACACATTTCCTTTAATCAGTCAGTACAAGCTGTAATGCTGTTTAAATATGGCTCTCTGTCTTTAAGTAAGCAGCTATTTTTACTGAGGCTTGTCTGATTTGGCACAACTGAGAACCTACACTTGTTAATTGAGCTTTAGTATTGATTCTACTGTCCTGTCCATTCTCTAACCCGCCTCCTGTACATTTATTTGGCTATTTGAAACACTTTGAATGCTTATAGTTGCAAGATAAAGTATTTATGAATTTCTATCCCTCTTTTTGTATGTCTCCCAAGCCAAATAAGTCAGTGTCGTTTCTAGTCCACTTTGAACTGATTCGTTCTTGCAAATCTGACCAAGAATGTTTTGCATGTGGGTGAAACGGTGCATGTCTGATCTCTAAATAAACTAATATCTTTGAAGATTATATTGATTTGCTCATTGTGATTCATGTTTTCTCTCCAACTAAATCATAGACCCAGAGTCACAAAGGAAGCGGACTGTGCAAAATGTTCTCGACCTACGGCAGAATTTGGAAGACACTATGTCAAGTCTTCGAGGCTCCCAACTCAGCCACAGGCAAGTAATGTGTTTAGCTGTTTGTCTAACTTTTCATACACATAGATCTGGTGATATTTAATTTATTCTTGTATTGCCTTGAATCACAACAGACTTCACAAAACCGGTTGTGTTCGCCAACACAAATCAGATAATCAAACCGTTCAAACTCCAGAAAAGCAATGATAAAAAACACATTGACATTGGTCCATAAGGGGCAGACGACTTATTTCCATACATGTTGAGAAAGTCCATACATGTGTCTCTGTTCACTGTTAGGTTGCTAAGGATTGCTCAGTGCATCGTAAACACTTCGCTACCATTGACCCAGACTAGGGATGGGAAAAAGTGTGCCAAAGGGTTAAGCAAAATGTTATAGTTTTCCAGACCACATTTTTTGTGAATCCATTTTTTTAATGAATTTGAATTATAATGAATCTTCAAAATGATTTGAACTCATTCTTGTACAGTCTTAAATCACAAAAGTATCTCTGAGGACTTAACAAAACTCAAACCACATAAATCAGAGAATCAAACAGCACACGAAATGGAATGATAAAAAAAAGACTTAGAGGTATTGGTCCATAAGGGGCAGATGACCAATGTTGATAAATGTCCATATGTTTTGTGTAAAATTTCCCATGTCCAACAGCCACAAAATGGGTTCACGTGTTTGCATTTTTCTGTGGTCGCTCAGAGTTGGCACCTGGTCCACATCTGGCTTTCCTTCATGGCCATTACTTCATTCGACAAATGTCCACTAATGTAGCTAAGACCAGGCCCAGGAAAGAAACAGACAACAATTAGAAGTTCCAGAGCTCCTAGCAAGGGGTGGCACAAGCCTTTACTTCTTCTGGATATTAAAGTTGATGCATCACAGCTGGTCGAACACATTATTTCTGAATCATGCTGTGACTAGCGTGACTCAAGTTCAAAGCAATACAGTCAAATAACTGAATGAGCTAGATGTATTTTAGTGCTACAGTGCCACAACATATGCATTGTCTTTATCTATCTATGAATTCTAGTAACATTTATTGACAATATAGAAAAAAATATACAACATACCACAAAAACAACGTGCTGAAGGAATTTTTTTTAGGCCTGTCACAATGGGCGTAATGGTGGCTGAGTGGTTAGCAATACTGGGTTTGAAATCCGGTCGGAACAGGGCCTTCCTGTGTGGAGTTTATAAGATAAGAGTGTCTTTATTCACGGTGGGCCAGTGGAGAAATGTCAATGTTGCAGTGCACAAACAGAATAGTTGTAAGAACACACAGGAAGCACACAAAATATACAATATAAGTATAGTTGCTATGTTTCTTAGCTAGCTGTAAACGCTTCAATATCAATCTTTCGATGTATCTCTATGTACATATAGTGCAAAGTTATACATATTAGACTGAAGTAGATTAGTCGTAATAGCAGTAGATAAGTAGACTGATGTGTGTCATGTTTTCAGCATAATCTGAAAACTGAAAACCATAACTGATCTGTCCACATTTTACTGCAAAGTAAGATTTAAATACGTGTCCCTGAATCTGCAAATGGCATATTGCATATTGTGGTTTGGTATCTTTTTATTTATTTATCTGTAATTTTCTGTAAAACCACATTGGAATACATTTGCAAAAGTCCCGAGATTGCACCAGACAGAATTTAATTATTTTTAACTACAGTTAAAACCAAAAAGCTAAAAAAAAGTACAGGAGACCTTGTCACTGAAATCAATCAATAAAACCAGCTTCAACAAAAGTGCAAGATCATTAAAGGACTTTATTCAAGCTGATTACATCTTGGTAAATTGGCATCGGTTATTTTAAACAAGCTTCAAATAAACTACTGTATTTTTCTGGTCAAGTCCAAACATTTTTACTTTTAATTCTTTGTTGATTTCCTAAGGTCCCTGATTATCGTTTACTCCAAATAAAAAGGCTTAATGGTGTCAATCACAAAGTCCTTCACATTCTCAAAGTCACAGCTTTTGCTTTAGTCCCTGAAGACGTTACAATATAACTGGTGCATGTAGGTCAACGATGACTCGATGCCATTTTTGGTTTTCCTTTTAAAAGCTTTCAGACACAGACAAAGCACCATCTCAAGATTAAGAGATCCTTTATTCGATCCACAGTGGGGAAATGTCAGTGTTGCATCACCAGTTTCAGAATAGGAATGTGAAAGATATCTGAACAATGTCTATACTTTATTTAAAATGAAATCTCCAACTTACGCGTAATAAAAAGCAAGAATAACATGTATAGATTTAGCAAAATGAAGAGGAAAGTTGATGAATAAGATATTGTATATTCTAGTATCTCGGAACTCGCCCATATATGGGCATCGTCTGGTCCTCCCGGTTCTGCGCAGTGGATGATCTCCCATGATGCGTTGCACCAAATACGCTTGTGTGGCACATGAGAGCCACACACGCGTGTGCCACACACGCCGCTCTACTGCAGCAGATTTACCTTCTGCTAGAGCAAAGCCAGAGCGGGAAGGAAAGGAGCAGAGTTTGGCAGTAAAGTGTGGATTTAGGAGAAACCCGAAGGATTTAAGAAGAAAAAAAGTTCAGGATGACAAGGGACACTAAAATCCCCACAAAATCCGACCTTTCTGAAAGATGTAGGTTCTCTGTCAGCTGAGGTCGAGCTGTTTTAGTTTATATTGTTTTCTATTGGACTTTTTTCTGGGTAGCCCTCGTGAATTTAGTCTGCAGTACCACGGTCGCCCCATGTCCCCATGGGTGGGACAGCTATAAGCTAGTAATACCCTATCCAGTTATTATAGATCCATTGTTTGTCCTCATTATTTGTTGACAGCAGCAGGAAGGAAAGAATCTTGGGTCTAACGTGTGTGTCTCTTTCTGCTTTGTCTCCAGCTGCGTGGACAGCAGTAACGTTGGCTACGACAGTGACGAGACCAACGCCCGCAGCCTCTCCAGCCTCTCCAACCGCTCCTCGCCTCTGTCCTGGCGCCACGGTCAGTCCAGTCCTCGCCTCCAGGCCGGGGACGCTCCCTCTTCCACTGGAGGGGGCTACCAGGGCAGCAAGGCCAGCTCTCAGTACACTGCTCACACCATGCCGGCCAGATGCACCCCACGCCTCAACAGCACCCCCTCCCGCATGGAGCTTATTGAGGGGCTGGATGTGGACGACCCTGACCTGAAGTCCGGATACCTGAGCGATAGTGACGTGCTGGGGAAGAGCCTGCCGGACGATGAGGACGATAACTTGGCTAATGGGTAAGAACAAACACACAAAGGATGAGAGGAAATGAAACTCAGCATCTAGTGTTGCCATGGCAGCGGCTGGTGGTTTGGTCTTTCGCTCTCTACCTTTTGACTTTTAAAGGGTCAGGTCTGTTGCAGTGAATGTGGAGTCCCTGAAATCAATATATTTTCTCCTGGATTTACGCCTACGCAGTGGGTTTTTGACATTCATTCTGCTGAGAAATTGATCTGGCTCTATTAGTATTAACAATAGGTTAAAAAAAAGAAAAACTCACAGAAGGATGCCCATACACACAGCCACACTTACACACAGAGACACACAGACATACATACGCATACAAAGACAAAGGCACACAGACACACACACCACGCCCACACACACACATAGAAAGAGATGCACAAACATACAGAGACACACACAAAGACACTTACACACAGAGACACACAGACACGCATACAGAGGCACACACATAGAGACATAGAGACACAGACACTGTGACACACACACACTCACACAAATTCAAACAGAGACAAAGATACACAGAGACACAGAAAGAGAGACACAGGTACACACATCGACACAGACTCGTAAAAAGATGCCCACACACACACAGACACACACTTATACAAAGACACAGGCACAGACACTGACACAGTGAAAAACAGACACCCACACGCACAGAGAAAAAGATGCACACACATACAGACACACACACACAAAGACACAGACACACAGAGAGACACTTACAAACAGACACACATGCACAGAGAAAAAGATGCACACACATACAGACACACACACACAAAGACACAGACACACAGAGAGACACTTACACACAGACACACATGCACAGAGAAAAAGATGCACACACATACAGAGACACACACACACAAAGACACAGATACACAGAGAGACACTTACACACAGAGACACACAGACACGCATACAGAGACACACACACACAAGAACATTGAGACAAAGACACACACACACAAACACACATATTATGTATCCTTAACCAAACAGGCGTTGCACACCAGCAGCAGTGGGGAACTCATACAGAAACCACAACAACCAAGTGGACTAAGTGTCAGCAGACGTGCCTTTGACATAGTTCAAAGCTTGTGTAAATGCAGACACCATGTGACTTCTGAGACATGTTTTAAGGATCTATGTGAAACTTTGGAGCAATTTTTGAGTTGTATAAACATGCTGTGGTGCTCACATGCATACCTGCAAAATACATTTCCTCTGCATTCCGCACGTCTAACAATCATTCAAGGGTCTGTGTGTGAATCTGGAGGATTTGATTGCATCTAGAACAATGTTTTTCAACTAGTGTGTTCATGTTTGTGTGTCTTGACTTGACACTTGGCTTGGTGTGCCTTTTGGAAATGATCCAATATTATCTAATTGGTCCAAATAATGTGAAAAGAAAATACTGTGAGAATGTTTTGTGCTGGTTTGATTTTCTATATTATACACTTTGATGAGAATTGCTTTTCTTATTAAAGGCTGCAGAGTTTTAGCTGGTGGTTTGCCATGAGATTTTTTTTAATTAAAAAGGTGTGCCTTGGCTCAAAAAGGTGAGAGACACAGCACAAGAAAGCAATGCTCTTGTCTCATTAACCGATGGCGTCCTCTCTCTTGTCCTTTGTGTGTCTTGATGCAATTCCGTCTCCCACATACAAGTCCAGAGGAAGTGAAGGAATCCAGGACAGAGCTCTAGTCGAGTTATCACGATTGCACATGCACTGGGACTTAAGCTCTTCCTCGAGAGCATTAACTGAAAAGGTCATGTTTTTACTGAGACTTTAAGGAGGCAAAATGAGGGACTTTCTCTGCCAGGAATTTGAAGGAAGAGAAAATTAGTGGGTCATTTTCCGTGAAGTGCCCAGGAATAAGGGTAATGAGACTAACATTGCACATATGTGTGTAGTGTACTGATTACAGAGTTTAAGTAAATTGGACCTTCTATTTCTGGTAGAAAAGCTGAAACTTCAGATTGCAAAGCACAAGAACTGATGCGTACCTTTGTGTGTTTAGCTAAAGCAAATGGTGCTTATTTAATTGTTGAATGAAACAACAGGAGGCAGAGCTAGACTTGTATAGAAGGTGAATCAATTGTATAAAGCTTTGCATGGTCTTTCCAGTGTTTTGTTAATTGTGTCGTATTAAGTGTTGTATCTGCAGTATGTAGTGCAAGCCTCTTTTAAAAACAAACTAATAAAACAGACCTGAGCAAAGTGTGGCCCCCAAAATGAATGTAAATCACCAAGAATGAGCAACTTAATGAGTGCTACGATGGCATGCTCTTAATAAATCATCATAATTCATTCATCTGTCCATAATACTTAGCCTTCTTTAACTTTAGTGCAGCTTTGGTTGAATACAAGCAAGAATTGAAATCGAAAGACAAGTAAAAAATGCAATCCAAATCCATTAATAATAATTTCCTCAAAGTACGTCCCACATTGAAAAGGTTAAAACAAAAATATAGCTTCAGATGCAAAAAAAATAACTGACACACTTCACACAATCTTAGATGGCATGTATAAAACATATTGTAGTGTAAGAAATATATTGTATACATCTGTACATGTTAGCAGCATGAGAGTATGGGACAAAGTCTAAGTTAGTCAAGTGACCATGGAATGCTGTTGATGAGCTAATAGCTAATCCGCTCTCCAAACTAAGCTTTCAGTCTAGATTTATTACCTGGTTCATTTGCATTTATACTGTACATTCTTGTCATACTTTCTATGCTTCACTCAATGAGGACCAGTAGCTTCCAGCACTCAAAAATAGATCAGCCTCTCTGTGCGTATCCATGGTAACTCCACTCAAATCGGCTGTGAAGAGAGGTGTAATTGTGCTCTGTTTCACCCCCTCTTTATCGGTCTACATTGAGCCACAATTTTTTACAAATCATAAATGTATAATGTATTATATGAATGCTTGTACTTGCTGCTTGTGTATTGTTACATTTATATGGGTTGTAACACGCTACACACTGTGTTTATTCGATCATGTATATCGTATGATGTGCAGCCTCACATTGCTGACTGTCTAATGGATATTGATTTTACTCATACAGACAACATTTGGCAACATCTGAGTCTCGTCTGATGGTAATCACTGCTTCATACGGACTCATCAATAATGTAGTTGTTATTCCAGGCCAAGTGTTCATCATCACCTATGCTTAAACTAAGGGTCTGGATTTGTCAAGGCGAGTTTATTTGTATAACACAGTTCATACACAAGGCATTCAAATCATAAATAAACCCAGTGCGGTTAGAAGAGTAAATATACGATCCCTCAGCTGTATGCATACATAAACAGACCTGTTTTAATCTGGATTTGAGCATTGTCAGAGGAAAAGCTTGCCTCACATTTTCAGGAAGACAGTTCCACACTTCAATCAATCAATCAACTTTATTTGTATGGCGCCTTTCCAACACAAGGCCACTCAAAGCGCCTCACAACCCACATAGTATCACACAAATCAGAGACATCAATAAATACATTAAAAACAGAATAAAATCACAAATAATGGAAAAAAAAAAAATATATATTAAAAGCACACACGGGATTAAAATAATAAATAACCACAATGCATTAAAAAAAAAAGAGTATGTATCAATAGAATCCTTCAGCCGTATGCACAGCTAAAAAGAACAGTTTTTAGCCCCGATTTAAAAATTGCCAGAGTAGATGCTAGCCTCACATCTTCAGGAAGATTGTTCCAGATTTTAGCTCCATAAATCTCAAACGCTGCCTCCCCATGTTTAGTTCTGACTCTTGGAACCAGTAAGAGGCTACCTCCTGTGCTCCTCAGAGTCCGGGTCGGTTCATATGGGACTAACAAGTCGCTTAAGTACCCTGGTGCGAGGCCATGGAGAGACTTGTACACAAGCAGTGCTGCTTTGAAGTCTATTCTCTGAGCCACAGGAAGCCAGTGCAGAGACCTGAGAACTGGACTAATGTGGTCATATTTCCTGGTCCTGGTCAGGACTCGAGCTGCAGCATTTTGGACATACTGCAGTTGTTTTACAGCCTGTTTGGAGAGACCTGTGAGCAGGCCATTGCAGTAGTCTAACCTACTGGAGACAAATGCATGGATGAGAATCTCCAGATCTGATTTAGACACTATGTTTCTAATTTTGGCAATGTTTTTCAGATATAAATGCTGCTGATGTTAATGATTTGATATGACTGTTAAAATTTAAGTCTGAGTCCATTATAACTCCTAGGTTTCTGACCTTGCCTACAGGTTCCAGGGAGAGAGACTGGAGGTGACGAATAACGCTCTCTCTTTGTTTCTGAGGACCAAAGACAATCAATTCTGTTTTGTCTGCGTTTAGCTGAAGGAAGTTATTTTGCATCCAATCACTAATCTGTTGAGTACAGTGAAGGAGTGATTCCACTGGTCCATGTTCTCCTGCAGTAAGTGAGACATAAATTTGAGTGTCATCAGCGTAATTGTGGTAGGATACATTGTTGGAGCGTATTAACTGACCTAACGGCAGCATGTAAATATTGAACAGAAGAGGCCCCAGAATTGATCCCTGTGGCACTCCGCAGGTCAGAGCCATATGATCTGGACACAGTTTCCTATCTGAACCAAGTATTTCCTGTCTTCTAGGTAAGACCTAAACCAACTTAGGGCAGTCCCAGTGACACCCACCCAGTGCTCTAGTCTCTGCAGGAGGATCTCGTGGTCGACTGTGTCGAACGCAGCACTCAGATCCAACATTACTAAAACTGTGACTTTTCCTGTGTCGGTGTTAAGTCGGATGTCATTTGTAACCTTCACTAGTGCAGTCTCAGTGCTGTGATTGGCTCTAAAGCCGGACTGGAGCGCATCAAACGAACTATTAGTTACTAAGAATTCTGTAAGTTGTTGGTAAGCAACTTTTTCCAGAATTTTTCCCATAAACGGCAGATTTGAAATGGGGCGATAATTCTTAAGAACTGTGGCATCTAGACTCCTCTTTTTTAGGAGGGG